TATATATATATATATATATATATATATATACACACATATATATATTACACATACAGACACACTTCACCGTTAACACCTCACTCTCTACAGACTATAGTGCTGTCAAGAACAGTAGCTGCATACTTACATATTCGGAAAATATGCTGTTACGAAACTGCCATGATTGAGTGGGATCTGTATACTTATGCACACGGTCAAAAAGGAAAAAACTGCTAGCATGAAACTCAATGAAAGACTTGGCACTGATGACTGTATATGGACTATACGTAAAAAAGACCTATTATTATTAGACCTGAGGGCAATGTAAAATAAATGCTTGGAAATATTTTAATTGCTGTAGAAGCAGGGATGGAGTTAAAATGCTTTTGGCATTAAAACCAAAATTCAGCAACAGAAGAGGCCATGGGAAGGGATGAGTGTGTATGTAACAAGCCCATGTGTGTATTCCCATTGAGCCAACATTAACAGTACACAATAGGCTAAGGGCATGATCAGCTGCTGATCTGTGCTACGAAAGGCATTTAAAGTATGTGTATACTATTTGTATTAAGCAGACACATATTGCAGAGACATCTGCATAAGTCACCTTTCAATTAGGGAGTTATCTCTGATTAAGAACACATGTGACATACAGAAAGGATACTACTTTTCTATGCTTGCAGAGGGGAAAAATGAGTCACTATAATAAAGCGGGCAGCCTGTCACCACCCTGTAATTCCTCGACCCCATGTCAGGGCTGTTGTTACAGTTCACACCATCACTTTACCATCTGTACTCACTGCAATATTGGTGCTACCCAAATAGATTTCAATGGGACAGGTTCATGGCATTAAACCTCCTCATTGCATCATGGCTTAGAGCTGCTATGGAATTAGGAGTTATTCTAACCAAAATGTATATTTTATTTGGTGGATGCTAGTGAGTTGAAATACTTCCTGACTCATTTTATCTATTAGAACTTCAGTGCTCATATGTGTTATCCATATTGTAGTTGCCGACTATAATTTCCTTGTCTTAGAATACTACTTCTTCAGGGGAAGTGCCAGTCCTCCATCTTTATTCTGTATAGTAACATGGAAACAAAACCAAACTGAAATGATTATTGGAGACTCTGAAAGTTAAACCTGGTACAACAAAAAAATTGGGTGGACAGACTTTTTCATCACCATCTAGAAGCTTTCAAGAAGTTACCATGGTCTAAAAAGTGGTCACATCCATCCACAACACATGTATGGAAAAATTAAGTTTTAGGAATAGCAATGTTTTGAAATGGGTTAGTTCACTCGAAAATTGATATATTATTCTGAGAAACAGTCAATGGGGCTGAGTCACCTACTGGCTTCTTATTTCTCTTCTTATTTCTCTTTGAGACCCTGCCATTTTTCAGCCCACCTTGAAGTTTTACTGCTTCTAACTCGCACAGCAGATGTTCATATTTGGTAACTAATGTAGAACTATGGGTAAAGTTCTAAAATCCCCAAAATACAGTATCTCATAGAAGTGAGTACACCCCTCACATGTTTGTAAATATTTTATGATATCATTTCATTGAGCATCTGTGGGGCATCCTCAAATGGAAGGTGGAGGAGCGCAGGGTCTCTAACATCCACCAGCCCGGTGATGTCGTCATGGAGGAGTGGAAGACCTGGCAACCTGTGAAGCTCTGGTGAACTCCATGCCCAAGAGGGTTAAGGCAGTGCTGGAAAATAATGGTGGCCACACAAAATATTGACACTTTGGGCCCAATTTGGACATTTTCTCTTAGGGGTGTACTCACTTTTGTTGCCAGCGGTTTAGACATTAATGGCTGTGTGTTGAACTATTTTGAGGGGACAGGAAATGTACACTGATATACAAGCTGTACACTCACTACTTTACATTGTAGCAAAGTGTAATTTCTTCTGTGTCGTCACATGAAATGATAGAATAAAATATTTACAAAAACGTGAGGGGAGTACTCACTTCTGTGAGATACTGTAAATATAAAATCATTAGGTGATTTAGTTTTCTAGAATCTATCAAACACTATAAAGGCCTGTGTTGAATGGCTTTTGTTCGTTTCAGGTGAGTTTTGCATTCCTATAGGAAACCTGCTTGAAGCAAGTCAAGTGCAGGTCAGAAATAAGCCAATTGCAAGTGAAAAACAACTAACAGTAAATTCTAAAAGATCTAAAAAAAAAAAAAGGCTCAAACTGAGGTTAGACTGATGCCATTTACACAAGCCCCAATCCATTTGGCACAGGTCCTAATAACAGTTTTGAGTGGACTGGCCCTTTTTTGTTAGTGGAATTATACAGTATATGACATGTGAAGTGCTAACAGAAGGTTGGAGAGTACAGTAAAAGAAATCCTTGTTTTCCAGCCTGCAATAACCAGATTAGAGATCCCAGGAAGCTAGGATACCCACAATTGAAGTCAGTGGAGCAATTCACTTGCATCCTGCAGAGAAATTAAGTACGGCAAAGCAAAAAAAAAAAAAAAATACATTCATTGGTGCTGCTTTGTTCTGCTTAAAATATGCAGGATGTTTCTGTTTACTTGGAATTCAGCATTCTAAAAGTATTTTGCATATTATTACAAATGCTTTTTTTTTTTCTAGTGGTTACACGTGTTTATTAATTCTAAGATGCAAATGTACTGTATCCCATAGCAACTAATGAAATATGAAATGAATTATTTCTACAGATATGTTGAATATAAGCTAATATCTGGTTGCTATAGACTGCACCGTTCTGTGCTTTTTGCACCATGTTATTACTTGTGCAATGTTATGCTCAGTGCAGGATGGATACGTTTACTTTGAATATATCATGGAGGGTTAAATACCCATCCATCGAAGTGATAATGGTCCATTAACAGAGCCATTTAAATTATTTTTCTGGGTTTTTTTTTATAAGTGCTCCAAAGATTTTATAAATGTTATATGATATATTGCAAGTAGCAGTGTGCCAAATCTATTTCACACATTATGGTTCCAGCTATAGTCTTTATATTTACATATAGGACAGATATATCACTTTATAAATAACCTATGAGGTTTTTTATTTACAGTGGCAGACTAAACTAGGAGCAAACTGGGCAGTAATCCCATACCCATTTAAAAGCATACAGTACATATTGCCGTTAGAAGCATACATATTGCTTTCTCTTTTCCCGTTCAGAAGCATATATATTGATTTCAGCCAAGAGAACATGAAATCTGACTGTATAGTCTAAATGTATAGTTGAATTGTGAGTATATTTCAGTATATTCTAAAGAACAAGTGCATCATGAATTATATCTACCTACTACATGATTATATACAAGTAAGGGCTTTGGGAGTAAGGGAAGGGGCCATGATAAAACGTTTAATGAGCAGTGATTATTTAAGTTCGTCATACATCTTAGTATGACAGGTAAAGTTTTTTTCTGTATTTAGATGAGTAACAATAACAGCTCACAGTTTTGGCCAAATATGTTTAAATATATCATGTAAAATTGTAACTTCAAATCTGTGGCTCATTTACAGGAAAGTCAAATTTGGCATTTTCATATAAGCTTTTTATGCATATGTTTATGCCAGGATGTGACACATCATACTGCACATTTAATCTGTTAATGAAAGGAGCAATAGTGTATTGACCCAAAACCCTCCCCTCATATTTAAGCTTTCCTTGAGCAGAGGTCTGCTACAATTTATGTTTGTTAATTTTCCATGCTCTTTTTCTACCTGATTTACTATAGTTTGAATGGGTTGCTGAGGAAGGCCCACATATTACTTATGCTGGCCATGTAGTGCTTGAATTTCATCAGAGTACTGCTGACTCGGCTAAAACTCGAGCACTGTGTAGCCCAGTCGGTTCCCCTCGATTCTACAAGGAGGCGGTCTGAATAATTCTTGTCCGAACAGTGACTGCAGCCAGAGTTTGGGTACTCTGACAGCAACACACAATGTCACAATTCAATAGGCCGGTGGGGAAATTTCCACACTAAACAGCCCTTGTGGCTAAACGAGAAACAAACGAATAGGGTATGGCCAGCCCTACTTATTGGTAGATTTTTCTTATAAAACAGGTCAAGTTGAAGGAAAATCGACTGGGTAGGGCCAGCTGAGCTGGAAAGCCAAAATACTATTGTTCTCATCTCTGATTGCAAAGATAAGAGCTCACGGTAATAGCTTGGTGACTCACAGAGGTTCACATACCTACACTGGTGCACTATATTTTGGCAGACAGATAGAAAACTAGCATTAGCTTCACATGTGTGGAACTCAAAATCAAATGTTATTTATATGTAAGATTATTTTACCTTCAGTTGCATACTGTCTTGCAAGAAGTTTAACCAAAACAAAGCTAGTAGTAGAACATATTAAGAGAACAGTTGTCAAATGTATACTTACCTCTACTGTCCTGCTCAGCCTCACCTAAAGAACCCCTGCTGATTTTTTTTCACTCCCTTTTTATGTGCGTTTCATGGTTGGTCTGCCTGGCTTTTGTGCCAGGCAGTCGCCACTCTTGGCAGAACAAAAACAGCCTAAATGTTGCAAACAGTCCTCAATTTGAAG